GTGGAGGTCCCTGTTGGGCCAGGGAGCTCCCTGTGTGGCCAAGGGCACGATCCTCAAAATGGGTGTGCCGAAATGAAAATTCGGTGGCGTTTTTGTTGTGGTGCCAGGGCCAAGATCCTCGAGAGGGGTGTGCCGAAATGAAGTTTCGGTGGAGTTCCCTGTGGGGCCAGGGCCACGATCCTCGAAAGGTGTGCGCCGAAATTAATGTTCGGCGGGGCTCCCTGTGGGGCCAGGGCCACGATCCTCGAAAGGTGTCCGCCGAAATGAAGTTTCGGTGGAGCTCCCTGTGGGGCCAGGGCCACGATCCTCGAGAGGGGCGGGCCGAAATGAAGTTTCGGTGGAGCTCCTTGTGGGGCAAGGGCCACGATCCTCGAGAAGGGCGTGCCGAAATGAAATTTCTGATGAATTCCCTGTGGTGCCAGGGCCACGATCCTCAAGAGGGGTGTGCCGACATGTTGTTTCGCTGGAGCTCCCTGTGGGGCCACGGCCACGATCCTCTAAGGGGGTGTGCCGAAAGAAAGTTTCGGCGGAGCTCCCTGCGGAGCCATGGCCGCGATCTTCAATAGGGGTGTGCCGAAATGAAATTTCAATTGAATTCTTTGTGGGGCCAGGGCCGAGAACCTCGAGAGGGGTGTGCCGAAATGAAGTTTCGTTGGGGCTCCTTGTGGGGGCAGGGCCACGATCCTCGAGAGGGGTGTGCCGAAATGAAGTTTCGGTTGAGCTCCCTGTGGGGCCAAGGCCACGTTCCTCGAGAGGGGTGTGCCGAAACAAAGCATCGGTGGAGCCCCCTGTGGGGCCAGGGCCACGATCCTCTAGAGAGGTGCGCCGAAATCGGGTTTCGGTGCAGCTCCCTGTGGGTCCAGGGCCACGGTCCTTTACAGATGCATGCTAAAAGGAAGCTTCGAAGGAGCTCCTTGTAGCGCCAAGGCCACGATCCTCTGGAGGGGTGTGCCGACATGAAGTTTCGGTGGAGTTCCTTGTGGGGCCAAGGCCACGATCCTCTAGAGGGGTGTGCCGAAATGAAGCATCCGTGAAGCTCCCTGTGGGGCCAGGGCCACGACCCTCGAGACGGGTGTGCCGACATGAAACTTGGGACGAGCCAGGGCCAAAATCCTCGAGATCGGTGTGCCGAAATGAAGCGTCGGTCCAGTTTCCTGCGGGGTCAGGGCCACGATCCTCGAGAAGGATGTGCTGAAATGAGTTTCGGTGGGTCTCCGCGCGAAGCCAAGGCCGCGATCCTCGATAAGGGTGCGCCGAAATGAAGCTCGGGCGGAGCGCCCTGTGGAGCCAAAGCACCAATCCCGCGGGGAGGTCCACCGAAATGAAGATTCGGTGGGCCTCCCTAAGGGATTGTTGTTGGTTGCTGGTTGCTTGGGGAAGGGGGGCACGGGGCCCCAACCCCCGTTTATTCCAAAAAACAACAACAGAACAACAATAACAACAACAACAACAACAACAACAACAACAACAACAACAACAACAACAACAACAACAACAACAACAACAACAACAACAACAACAACAACGACAACGACAACGACACCAACACAACAACAACAACAACAACAACAACAACAACAACCACAACAACAACAACAACAACAACAACAACAACAACAACAACAACAACAACAACAACAACAACAACAACAACAACAACAACAACAACGACGACGACGACGACAACAACAACAACACCAACGACAACAACAACAACAACAACAACAACAACAACAACAACAACAACAACAACAACAACAACAGCAACAGCAACAGCCACACCAACAACAGCAAAAATCGGATTACCATCATGCACCATGCTTCCACGCGTCACACGCATCCTTCTGGATACCACACCCCGCCATGGGGGATTTGTCCGGCGCGCGGGGCCCCACAATCCCTCGCCCAGATCTCCCGCCCAAGAAAGCATTGTCACCACCTCCTCCGAGGAACTTCGACATCGACAGCTCGGACGGCACATCGCTTTCGCAATCGCCTCGCGCACGCCCCGCATCTCGGAGGAGGAGGAAAAGGGCGAAGAGGGGCGGGAAGATGAGGGAGAGTCAGAGGGAGAGGAGAAGGAGGAGGAGGAGGAGGAGGAGGAGGAGGAGGAGGAGGGAGGAGGGGGAGGGGGAGGAAGGAGGAGGAGTTGTAGTAGCAGTACCTCTGAGGACGAGATTGTTATTACTCCTCGCTCGAACTGTTACGCCACCATCCTGCGACCTCGGCGCGTGACCCTGAACGTTCACGCCCCCAGGCGCTGCCGCTCCCATGCTCGCATCCTCCACCTGCCCCATCCACAGTTCCTAAAGGAGTCCCCGAAGTGCATCCTTCGACCCTCGATCCGTGGAGCCCCTGGAAGTCATACGTCCTCCTTCTCCTCCTCCACATTATCTATGGTCTACAAAATGACCAGTAGTTAATAATTACGGTTCAACAGGGACTCTTGGAAGCCCCCCAGAGGCGACGCCGAAACGAGGGCCCTAGTCCTGATTAAAAGGCGAGGAAGTATCAAACGGGGGCGACGAGAGACGACGGAAGGGGAATGGAGGAGAGAGGAGGGAGGAGACAAGGGGGACGAAAAGGGAAAGGAGGAAGGAGGAGGAGGGAGGAAACAGGGACGGGAGAGGAAGGAGGGAGGAGGGAGGAGGGAGAAGAGGAGGGGGTGGAGGGAGGAAGAGAGAGGAAGAGACAGGGGGAAGAAGGGAGGGAGGAAGAGGAGGAGGAGGAGAAAAGGAGGAGGAGGGAGAGGAGGAGGAGGAGGAGGAGGAGGAGGAGGAAGAGGAGGAAAGGACGAGGGGGAGGAGAAGGACGAGGAGGAGGAGAGGAGGAGGAGGAGAAGAGGAGGAGGAGGTGGAGGAGGAGAGGAGGACAAGGAAAAAGGGAGGTAGAGAGGACGAGGAGGGAAGGGAAGATGAGGGAGAGTCGGAGAGGAGAGGAGGAGGAGGAGGAGGAGGAGGGGAGGAGTGGGAGAGGGGAGGAGGAGAGGAGGAGGAGGAGAGGAGGAAGAGGAGGAAAAGGACGACGAGGAGGAGGAGGAGTAATTAGGAGGAGGAGGGAGGACGAGGAGGAGGAGGAGGAGAGATAGGAGAAGGGGGGAGGGAGGGAGGAGGGAGGAAAGAGGGACGGAGGAGGACGGAGGGAGGAGGGAGAAGAGGAGGGGGTGGACGAAGGAACAGGGAGGTAGAGGAGGGAGAGGGGAGGAGGGAGGAGGAGGAGGAGGAGAAGAAGGAGGAGGAGGAGAAGGAGGAGGAGGAGGAGGAGAAGGAAGAAGAGGACGACGAGGACGAGGAGGATGAGGAGAAAAGGGCGCCAGTCCAGCGTAAAACGGGAGGAAGTCTCGGGCGGGAGCGCTGGTTTTGTCGGGACTGGGGCTGAGGGCGGCGAGCAAGAGCACCGCCTTGAGTAAAAAAGGTATGAAGTCTCGAGCGGGAGCGTTGTTGTTGCTGGGGGGCGGCGCCGATGAGAGAAAGAGTAGCGCGCCTGTCGAAGGCAAAACGGGAGGAAGTCTCGAGCGGGAGCGCTGGTTTTGTTGAGACGGCTGCTTTTGGCGGCGAGCAAGAGAACCGGCCCTGAGTGAAAAAGGGGGAAGTCTCGAACGGGAGCGTTGTTGTTGTTGTTGTTGCTGGGGGGCCGGTTTTGGCGGTACCCCAAGCCGCTTGAGAGTGAGCCTCATGTTCAATGAAAATGCAGCCGGCGCCTCGGCGAGAGCGCCAGGGCGCCTATAAGGGGTCCAACAATAATAATTGATTAGTAATTAACATTCAACAGCAAGAACAACAACAAAAAGCAGAATTATCGCCACGGATTCCTGATTAAATGAATGACCGTTCGGCCCTCTGACTCTGATGAGCAGTATTATTATTACTACTGTCGTTTTTCGTGGTATGAATATGAGTAGTAGTAACACGATTAGTGTGAATACTATGTTTAGCACATGTTGTCATTATAAGTCTTAGTATTAGTCGCATTCGAAATATCAGTCTGTTTCGCATCATTAACAGTATTGCGAGCCCTTCGGATTGTTAATGGCATCCCGTCATTATGATGAGTGTTCGTCTTCATATTGTTAATATACCGTGCGTCGTGTTATCATGAGTGTTATTCGTAGCATGACTACCTAGTGTTAGAGCTACTAGTACTACGCTTCGTCTTCTTATAAGCATCAATGTGCTTCAAAAGATTCGTACTACTGTTTTCTTATTAGTCGTGACAATAGTACGGTATTAATAAACTTAGTCCTGGATTTAGTAATAACATTAGCATTCGAAGTCCTAGTAGTATGTATAGGATGCTTACTGCTAGTACGAATATCAGTATGGAGTGTTCGTCGTATTCCTCTTGCTCGTAGAATTGTTATTTGTAATTTGAATATTGCTAATACAATTCGTCGCATTAGCATTCGCATTCTTATGCGCGTATGAGTAGTACGGTTATTCATTTAATAGATGTTGGCAATTCGTATTATCATGCTTCGTATCGGTATTGTTAATACCCCTGACATTCGTCCTATGATGAGTATTCTGATTAGTATCCATAATATTTAAAAATGGTGTGTTTCTGTCGGGTTATTCTTAACACCAATAATGATTAGTATGTATAGTTTTCTTCTGACGCGTAAGATTACTCCTCCTCCTCCTCCTCCTCATCCTTGGCCTCCTCCTCATCCTCCTCTTCCGCCTCCTCCTCCTCCTCAATATTCCTCCTCCTCCTCCGTCTCATCCTCTTCCTCCTCCTCATCATCATCAGCAGCATCATCATCCTCTTCCTCATCCTCTACCTCCGCCCCTGCTCCTGCTCCTCCTCATCCTCCTCCTCCTCCTGCTCCTTTGTCCTCCTCCTCCTCGTCACCACCTGGTTCCTTCATCCCCCCCGGGCCCCGGCTGCTGCCCTTCCCTGTTCCACCATGTCCCCGCCCCTACCTCACTCCCGCCGTTATGTGCGGTTCCTCTTCCTGCTCCGCCTCCGCCACGCCACCACCGACAGTACAAGCCGAAGGCCTTCACCTGTCCCGGCGCTCTTCGCCAAGGGCGTCGACACGAGACAAGGCCTCCCCCTGTTCCTCCTACGTACTCCTCCTCCCC